TGTATATGTTTTAATTGTTTTCTCTCTCTACCCATTAAAGATTCCAGTGCTGAATATTCAAATGAAAATTTTTCCTGCACTTTGTACTGTAGCAGGGACCATATTTTCCTGTACAAATTACTTCCGTGTAATCTTCACAGGTGGTGTTGGCAAAAATGGATCCACAATAGCAGTAAGTATGCCTTAAGATTTTCAACACTTGTTTACACTAGGACTTGGTTTTGTTGTCATTTTGTTTTTTATTTCAAATGTATAAAATCATTTGTTAATGTATAATTTATATATAGCCTTTAAAGAAACTAATGTTCAAAACTTCAATTTTATATATACTTACCCACATTTATATGCTTTATATAGTCATAGTTTTATGCATACACACACACACACACACACACACACTTATTCACATGTTTTTTAAAGTATGAGCTGCTTTGTAAAAATAAGCCTGGTCTCTCAAGTGAAATCTTCAGTTTGTGCCTAATCAATTTATGCTGCTACTTTTCATTAGCTCTTCTAGTTTGTGATTTATAGAAATTGCTGCCTATCAGGTACCATGAGGTTCCTGGAAGTTTGAGTTGAACTGTTCTGGAGCAGATCCATGCAGTATCTGATGAGTACTGAATACTATTAACTCTTCTCTTCACTCTGTACAGGGAACAAGTGTCCTTTCTCCTTTTCTCCATATTGGATCAGTGATTACATTAGCTGCAATGATCTACAAGAAATCCGCAGTTCAGCTTTTTGAAAAGCATCCCTGTCTTTATATACTGACATTTGGTTTTGTGTCTGCTAAAATCACTAATAAGCTTGTGGTAAGCACCTGAGTTTTTATTTGTTTTGTTTTTCACTTTTATCTTATTTTGGTTTTATGGCCATAGTTTTTATTCTGTGCTTCCTAAATGGTTCTAGAGTTTGCCCTCCTCTAATCAGAATCTCTTGATATCAACATGGGAACTATTTTTACCCTTTGTGAAGCTACAATTTGAAGTTACTGGAAGTTCTTGGAAAACATACAACTTTTCACCCTTTTATCCACTGTTTAATTTGGTTGTTCAGTTTATCTACATTCTTCAGTCTCAATCTGGACACTCAAATTAAGGCTCCTTGTGAAAAGCATCTTTTGGCGGGTTTCTCAGACACATTTCTTATTGTTGGGTTTTTAGTTTTGGGAATTCAACAGCTATTCCTAAATAATTACTGGAAGTTGATATCTGAGCACAATATGATTTACTCTGTAGTCCACAATTGTCCTCCTATGAAAATGCCTACGTTATTCTGTTTTATTCATAGGTTGCACACATGACGAAAAGTGAAATGCATTTGCATGACACAGCATTCATAGGTCCGGCACTTTTGTTTCTGGACCAGTATTTTAACAGCTTTATTGATGAATATATTGTACTTTGGATTGCCCTGGTAGGTATTGTACTAAGTCTTATTACATGGTTTGAGGATTTGAAGGTTGCTTGTTTTCTTATTTTGATGAGCCAGTCATGAGAGATAGTTCATATAATTGTAATGATTTGGAATGTCAGAAATCCACATAAATGGGGCTGTGTGAGAGTTCTATGACTTTATATTTGAGCCTTTTATTTTTTGCATTAATCTTACTAGTCCTGCCTACATCAGGCAGGGCTCATAAATTGCAAATTGCTGACTGAGTAAAAAAGCATGAATCGGCATACTACACCCTGTGGGCCCATAGCCTGTTTTGGTAAATACAGTTTTATTGGAACACAGCTATGGCCATTCATTTATATATTGTCTTTGGCTGGTTTCATGCTACAATGGCAGAGTTAAGCAACTGTTTCAAAGACAATAAGGCCCATAAAGCTTAAAATATTTGCCATCTGTCTCTCTAACAAAGAGTTCGTATGTGAAGGAAAGATTGCGAGGAAATTGAATTATTGTTTAGAATAGAAGGTCAATCTGCAGAGAAAACAGAGTCCACTCCTCTTTACTTTCAGGAAGCTTAGGGAGAGCCTAAACAAGTGCTGAGAATGTCTCTTTTCTTTCCAGGTTTTCTCTTTCTTTGATTTGATCCGCTACTGTGTCAGTGTTTGCAATCAGATTGCGTCTCACCTGCACATACATGTCTTCAGAATCAAGGTTTCTACAGCTCATTCTAATCATCATTAATGATGTAATTGGTATTATATAGGAACACCATGTTTTCTGCAGGAAGGAATCTGAACATATTAAGGAGAATGGGGGTGGATAAGAACAAATATAATTTATAATAATCAATGTTGTATAACTTTTATTCTTTATTATTGGTAACACTCCCTAACTATCCTGTGTGAGAATGGGAATTTCAAGTCCCATCTTGTAAATTGTATATGTTATCATGCAGGGTTTGGGCCAAGAAAGCATGCAGAAAAAAATGCCATGTGATTGTAATTATCCTGGATTCAGAATAACATTGTGATGGGGAGCCAGATCCACAGTGGTGGAGAGTTCTAATGTTGACTATTTGCAGGCCAAAAGATGATTGCTTTATAATTTTAACAAATCATCGTCTTTTAGTAACATCCTTGTTTAGTGTCTTCTCAAGCTTTCTTTACTAAGGAGTTCAGCTTGTGACACAGATACATCCCACTAGCTTGTGAGGTGGAACTAGTAATAAAGACCTTGAATTTGGATTGAAAGGTTTCCTATTTTTACATTGTTGAGGAAGTTCTTTTTTTTTTTTTTTTAATTGCTCAAGAAATGATTCTCTCACAGGCTTGGGAAATCCTGTTAGCATGCAGAATAATGTGGTAACTTTGTCAATTTCCCATTTTATTTTTTTAAATAAATATATGATCTGAAAGCCAACTTTTTCTCAGTTTTATTCAGTGAAAAGATAAACTAAGTTTTAATATTATTTTTTTAAATTTAAGCAAAATTTATTTCTGTTCTTTAATAAATAAGAAAATTTGGTCCACTGCATTGTTCTAATGTGTCTGGTGACATTTCTATTTTGTAGAAACTTTGACTTTAAAAAGGAGAACTATGTTCATCTTTCCTGTCAATGGTTTTTTTTGTGTTGTAGTCATCACCTATGTAATTATCAGTCACTTAGAAATCTCAGACCCTTCCCCTAAATTTTCAGCAAGTGCCTGGGCCTCTCTAAGGGGTTACTTTGTACTCTCCTTTTCTGGCACTCTCCTCTTTGGTATCTGTACTATAGTTTGAAATGGGAACCAGATATGTTTCCATTTTATACAGATAATTCAGTTGCTTGAAGAAGAGGAACATAGGAGAAAAGATTTAAACTGTTGGCTAAAATGAATGTCTTATTATTGATTTTCATCTATATCCTGTCCCATAATCAGGAATAAACAGTAGCTACACTGTCTTGTATGGCAGCCAGAGTGCTCCTTGCTTGCATCCATCCCGTGTAGATTGGATTAGCAAAGAGAAGTAAACCTTTCATTTCTTTGCCAGACTATATTGGGAAATGAAAATCCATTATTACCTTTCCTTGCTAGCAATTGTTCCAATATCTGGGATAAAGAAGTACATACAGGAAAATGTTAGGGCAGATCAAGTATTGAAAGCTAGGACAGAGCAGGACAAAGGAGGAAGGATAATTCTACTTGTTTGGCAAAGTTACATCAGTTGTCTTACTGACACATCGGGTATTATCTATAGTGGAAATTGAGGCCTGGAGAGGTTAAATGGCATGCCAGTGTCAGTTGCTATTTTTCAGAACAAAAATTAGAATCCAGATTTGAAACCTGGTGCAGTGTTCTCTCCTATACTATACTGGGCTTTAGTGGGCTAAAGCTCTAAAGCAAGATGTTGAGGGCTAATTGAAATATGTTTATTCTCTTACATTCTTTTTCAGCATAGATGGAATCTGAAAAGCACTCAGATATTTAGTGTGTGCATCCTTCAGCCCTAAATACAGCATTAGCATCAAATCAAGGGTACATTTGTAATAAGCCTCAGCAAACCTTACCTGAAGAACCTTTTAAGAAAGTACAGATTTCCAGGTCCTATCACTGGAGATAATTTGGTATATTTGTGATGAGGCATTAGAGGGTGTTTTCACAAGATTCTCAGGATTCCAGTTCCTTTTCTGAAGCCTTTGAAGGTACAACCATATTTAGGCACCACTACCATAAACTACCAAAAAAAAAAAAATGTAATTCCTAGAAGCTGTGAAGAATAGTAGTGTAGCTAAGCATGGTGTGTGGACAGTGGGACATCTGCCACCTTCATTAGGTCTCTGCACTCCCAAAAGCAAATTACATTGGCTTTAACTTCAATATGCCCTGTTCCACCCTCCAGAAACTTTTGTGTTCTTTGTACAGAATTTAGGAACTTCTGAGGGCCACAAATACACGCATTAAAAAGGTAGAATTTTTGAAGATAAGATTCTTCTAAAAAAGCTTCCCAATGCTTGAGTAGAAACTATCGGTAGAGGTATCAAGGGAGGGGAGACTAGGTGACCACTAAACTCCTTCAGACTCTTAAAATTAGGATTCTTTCTCAAAGGGGAAGAATGTCAGTGCAGAGATCCCTTCATCTTTAGCTAAAGAATTGAACTGTGCTGCTCAAAATAAAGATCAGTTGGAGGTAGGATGTCCAAGACTGAAGGTAAAGGACTAGTGCAAACTGAAAGTGATGGGGAAACCGACCTACTTATGGAAGCTATGTAGTGTTCTTCACAGGCTGCTGTTGACTGAAATTCCTATCCTCAAATTACTCTAGACTGAAGCTGCTTCCTTTCAGTGAAGAGCCTCTCCTCCCAGGATTCTGGAAAGCACACCTGACTCCAAACCAAGGACTTGGATGCCCTGTGTCGAGTGCTGCTGCTGCTTTTACCAGTATCTCTTACCCTTCCTCTTAGAAGAAGTAGAGCTGCTGCCCCCCATGATTCTATCACTCCAAACATATCCCCAGGTTCAGGACCACCATGGCCAGGTCCTCCACTTGTAGTCCATTTGATTCTCATATTCATTGCCTTATTTTCCTCATTTTCCACCCGTAGTAAAAGCCAAAGACACACATAAAAATAAGATTTTCCTCTTTACTCTCATCCTTACACATCCATAGACTTCTTCATGTGGAGAGGCTGAGCCTTTCAAACACAAAGTCTGTTCTCTGTTGAAGATGTTATAATGATGGGAGAGGGCAGTTGCAGCAGCTTCTAACCAAGTGTCTACAACACATGTACTACTGTTTCCTACCTGTCACCTCTGCAAAAAATGCAGCTCTGAGCCCAGTTCTGTGAGCATGGTGTCAGAGCCCTCCAAAGTCCTGAGAAATCGATACCAGGGATCCAAATGTCAGACACCAATTTGAAGCAATACCTGGATACCAAGACTCAGAGTGAGGTTATGGATTTGGGGGGGCTGATAGCTTTGCTGATCCTGCCACACTGGCAGGGGCTGAAGTCCAGAAATGGTGTGTAGCTGTAGTCATTCTTGTTCACCACAGCTCTTATTTCACAGTTTTTTCCCTTGGCTTCTTCTGTTTCTTCTGTTCCTCATATTCAAGTATTTTCTGTTGGAAATAGCCTGTGGGTTCAGATACGGGTGTTAGAGGCATCTGATCTGATCAGGCAGACTATAATGAGCTCAGGAATAAGGATCAGAAATACCCTGTCTGCTCCCCATACTCCCATCTCTGCCGGGATGTCTCTGGCCTCACAGGCTTCTGGAGATCCAAACATTCAGTTCTGTCCAAAAAGGAGCCCATAAACAGAGGATAGATACTTAGCAGGAATTAGCTCTAGACTGAAACAAAGGAAAGGGCTCAGTCCTGTTGGCTAATGAGTAAACCAACTTCCACAAAATGGCAGCCCATTAGACATTTTCGTAGGTTTCGGGTTATGTCATTTCAACTCCACTAATAAAAGTCTGCCTACACCTATTTTGTGGGTTTCTAAAGAGAAGTATTCTTTCTTTCCCCTCCTCTTTATTCTAGAGGTAACCTTCTATGGGCTTAGACTGATGGGGACTGTCACTACCTGCAGGAGGATTCTTGCTTTTCTCAGCTTCCTGGATGAAAAGTGAGAAGAGCTGTGTCTTCACAAACTTCTTCACAAATCGGCGGTTGGTCTTGGAGGTCACAGCCTTACAGAAGGATCGTTCTTGGAAGTGGCCTTGCCCATTTGCCTCCCGCTTGATATAGGAAGCATAGTGACCCACAGTCTTGACAAAGAACTGTACAAAAGGGCCTGAAACATGCTCGTTGATTTGTTCTGCAGCTGCAGGAGATATAAAGGCCATCTCAGAGGGTAGCAGAAGGATGAAATTACCCAAACTCACCTCCAAGAATGGCTTTCATGCAGGCTGAAAGCTCCTGTGGAAAGCCGTGGGGTAGGGTTCATAACTGACTGAAATGGCAATCTGGGTATGGGTTCTCTGCCATTACTTAGGAAGAATACAATCCCAAATTCAGACTTGCCCTAGGTTCTAGGCCTCTAGGGCTGGTTCTAGGACTTCTGAGTGAGTTCATTTTAGTTCTGGAAGGGAATGATTGAGAATCACTCCCTTGCACTCCCTGGAGAGACCCAAAATAAGAGTAAGGACTTACTCTTTAACTCATTGATCCCCTGACCGAGAGAGTCTAAGATGCCATCCTGAAGCTTCGGTGGCAGGATGTCTTTTTCATCACCAACCTAGAAGAGGACGGAGCTCCAAGGTCAAGCAGGAAGGAAGTGTGGAGTGAAGTGGGTTGGCAGAAAAGCATAAGGAGGGCGTGAATTCTACACCCCTACTCCACCCACAAATAATCAGCCACATGGGACAGAAACAACACAAGCTGTTTCTTGGCCTTTAGTTTGACTCTAGACATTAGCAAGGAATCCTCTCCACCCCGGTGGTACTTGGTTTTTATCCCTTGCTTAAAAGGCACTATCACTGATTGTCTTATAGTGAAGTCATCTGTGTTTATATGTCCATGGGCTCCTTGAGAGAGATGCGGTCTTTTTAGCACAGATTCTCGCTCAACAAAGAACTTAATGTTTGTTTAAATAAGTGGAAACTAGAGTGGTAGACCTGCAGGGGATCTGAACCCAGACACTTACCGACATTAAGAAGGTTCCTTCACAAAGATTGACCAGCAGGACCTGAAATAAACATAGACTGGCTTTCTCTGGTCCCCTTTCTTCATAGACCTCTAGAGGATTTACCGTCTTGATTTCTGCCTGTGGCTGTATCTCAGCCCAGGTAGCAACAAAATCAATATCTTCAGTTCTCATTTCCTGTCTAGCATTCTCCTTTCTCACCATTCCCCTCTGGAAATCTCAGTTCCCTTCCTGAGGAAAGGGTGTGGGTGTTTGTAGGAAGGGAGTAGGAGAAAGAGCTAAGGCAGAAGGGAAATACAAGATGGAGAAATCACAGCCAGTCACTCCCTTAATAAAACATTGCAGAAATTGCTTCTACCTGGAGCATTTAGTAGATTGCTCACATAAGTGCTTTACACATTTGATCTCAAGCAACAGTCTTGTGAGGCAGATACCATCTCCATTTTGAAGATGAGGAAACAGACCCAAAGAAGCTGCCCGAGGTCATACTATACTGCTAATAAGAGAACCAATTTTTTTCCAAGCCTAGACTGATATTCTTGAGATGACATTCCTCTCTCTATGATTCCCCTTCAACTCCCTGCTCTCTAGAACAGAGACCAACATCTTTTTATTTTTTTTTCATGCTTGCAACAACTTATGTACAATTTTCTATTAGAAAAACTCCCACCAGGCATAGTGGCTCACTCCTGTAATCCCAGCACTTTGGGAGGCCGAGGCGGGTGGATCACGAGGTCAGGAGATCAAGACCATCCTGGCTAACACGGTGAAACCCCATCTCTACTAAAAATACACAAAATTAGCCGGGCGTAATGGCGGGCGCCTGTAGTCCCAGCTACTCTGGCGGCTGAGGCAGGAGAATGGCATGAACCCGGGAGGCAGAACTTGCAGTAAGCAGAGATTGCACCACTGCACTCCAGCCTAGGTGACAGAGCGAGACTCCATCTCAAAAAAAAAAGAAAAAGAAAAACTCCCTCACAGCTTTGGGCCTTCCAGCAGGAAACAGCAAAGGAAAGAAATGAGCCCAGGGTCAACAGGAAGAGGAAAGGAAAGGAAGTGAGGAGACCATGTGTCTACAGTCCTCAGGTAAGATAAGCACAGGGCTGGAACTGCCCAGGGAGCCTTCAGTCTAGACCAGAGATTACAAATAGGCACCCTGCTGGCTGATTCCAACCAGCAGATCTGTTTCTTTGATCCTTACAGTATTTTTAAATAATTGATTTGGTTTCCAATATTTAAACTGGACTATCTCACATAAAATTTGGATTTGGGGCTTTTCCTGAAAAGTCAGGAGATCTAACACTGGGTCCACATTTCTAAAGGACAACACTCAGATGGAACTGAGTAGCAGTTGCCTGCTTTAGGCAGGGAATATTCCCACCAGTTTACTGTAATTTCCCAAATCATGTGTTGGTCATTTAAATGCCTGCTAGGCCTCTCTTCCATTTGTGACCCTTGGTCTTGACAATAGAGAGAATGATCCCTCCATTGTCCCTTCTTCCAAATACAAGGAAAGAGAGTGGAAAGTATGCCAAAAAATAGAGCATGCACTGTAATTATCTGTCGTCAGGGGAGAAAAGTTGAACTAGTCCAGGCCTGAAACCACTTGTATACATAGGCTCAGATGCCTTCATGGAGGGAAGACTGTTCCTTTGAGGGATTGGGAGGAAAGTGTCTGTATAAATAATTTGTTTTTCAAGATTGTTCCCAGAACTCTTTCCAGTATTTGGGCATATTATTGTCTGTGGAGTAATCCCTTACCAAAAGCCAGAGTCTGACTGGCCATCAGGAGAGGAGCCACGGCTTCCAGGGAGCTGGAGCTGCAGAGTCAGGAAGTTTCATAACTTCTGGGGTTGGGACATTTAAATGTTTATTGCTAAACATGGGGCTAATACTCTGTCCCAGTTAGTCACAAAGCTAAGGCTGGTTCAAAGGGCATGTGTACTCAGCAGTCCTAAGGAAGGATGAGGGGCCAGTGGAGCAAAGAAAGGAAACATAGCCTTCTTCTTTACTTCCCAGCAATAGTTTCTATAGGAGGGGATTTGGTTTTGTCTGTGCTAGGTTCCACTGTTTTCTGTGTGGCCTTGGATAAGTCTCTGGAGCTCAGTAATCTCTTGGAATGAGTCAATGGTTATGGCCAGGGCAGATATTCCCAAGTCCCTCTTCTGGCTTAAGATATAACAACATGCTATCTTTTGAAAGTCCCTACTGACCACTCTAAAGCACATGCTTTGAGTTATTTTTCCAACAGTGGGGATAGATTTATGCTTTTAATGCCCATTTTCACAACTGAGTCCTCTGGTTTGTCTGGGGCACTGCCAAGATGTAAGAAGCTAACAAAATGAAAAAGGATTCAGACCTGTATCCTCATTAACCCATTTAGCTCTGAGCTACTCAGAAAGATGACTTGCTGCATTCTTAAGACTCACAGTTTGCCAGAGGGCCACGTTAGCTCACTTCCAAGGAATTCAAATACATTCCAATGGGGTGTGTGTTGTATAGACCAGCTGTGTCATCCATTTGGATGAGATGGGATACCCCGAAGACTGTTCATCAGGGTCAGCTGGCATGGAACAGTCTGATCACCCTTGAATAAGCTATCCGCTGCGCCTTATGCCTAAAGGGAAATCCTTCAGAAGGGAGCCTGCGTTTATTGAGCATCAACTGTGTGTTGGGTGCCAGGTTAGGAGCTCTATGCAGGTGGTTTCCCCCAGAATCCTTAGGAAGTGACCACTGTTATCCCCATTTTAGAGATGAGAAAGCTCAGGCTTAAAGAGGTACGGTAACTTGCCCCTAATCACACAGCTGTAAGCAGCAGAGCTGGGATCTGAATCCCAGTCTACCTGGCTCCAAATCATGCACTCTTCTTGCCACATCATACCTCTTCCATAGGGCTGTCCATGACCTCCTGCTGGAAGCGCATTTGTACTCCAACCATGAAGGGGGTGGGGCAGCAGACGGTGGCCAGAAGGCTCTCAGGGACAACAGGGATGTAGGTGTGCGCCCAGCTGAAGGGGTAGAGCAGCGCAGCAGCAGCATGGATGCACTGAGATAGGGTGCTGGGACAGAGCACAGAGGATGAGAGTCAGGAGGCCCCTGCACCTCCATGCTACACACCTGTCATCGCCCACCACCAACAGCAGCTACAGCAGTGCTGCCCGTGCCCATGGCAGAAAGGCAAGTCTGGGGGCCATGCTGGTCACAGAGCTTGAATGTACATTGCTGGGAGGGAGGGACAGAAACTAGAGAGGCCGAGGCTTCACTCTCAAGAGGGGGACCTCGATTTGACCCTTCTTTTCCCAGTTAGTCTTCTCAACTTACTACTGGCCAAAAATAAAAGTGACTCCGAAGAGAAGAGAGAAGAAGAGTTGCTTTCATTCAAGGAGATAATTGATGGAGCCCCTATCCTGTGCTCACAGCTGTGAGCCTACCTCACAGATGTGGATACCAGGAAGAGCAAGACACTGACCCTGCTTTTAAGGAATTCGCAGTGTAGTTAAGAAACAAACAACTAAGTAAGCACTGGAGGCTCAGCCGAGAGGCAAAGCCTTTTTACCTTCCTATGTCTATCCAACCTCACCCCCAGCCTTTGCCCCCACACAGCCCCCTCTGGGCACTCAAGGGTGTTAAAGATTACCAGGTTGCTGCTTGAGTAGCTTGGGAAATTCCCAGGTTCTAAGAACCTCTGCTCAGCAATTCCTACACGGAAAGTCCCACAAAGGTGGCTCCTCAAGACTTTCCAGTGAAGCATTTCTCGTCACTCCTGCCCAAGTCACAACTTGGACCCTACTCCTCTCGCCACCACACACACAAAGTCCCACTCTCTGTCTTCTCATTTCTCCCCTGGCTTTCATGGCTCTTTCCTCCAGCCAAATTGCCTCAAAGTCAAGGCCAATAAAAGCACAGATGCGGGAATCCTTGTTTGAATTCTGGGTTTCAAGCTAGCACTTCCTGAATTAGCAAAATTGCGTCTCTGAGAGGCTAGCTGACTGGAAGTCCCCTCCCTGGCTAAGCTTCAGGGAGCTGAAAAACTCAGTGTGGGAAGGAAGTGGGGAGTGGTAGGATTTCCCTGAAGAAAGTAAACGTCTGAGAGGTAAATCCTGCCAACCTCCACTTTCCAAACACTGATCTGAGGAGGAAAGGCAGAATCCCAGCTCTAGCCACACAGGAACTTCTGGTTTCCATTCAGGGCTGGGAGTGAAAGAGCTGTTTCCAAAGCAAAATATGATGTCACTCCCTTCAAGGATTACCTACAACTAGTTCCTTTTTGGTTATCACCCATTTTTACAGAATCTTCAACACAGAGACCCCACTGGTTGCCCAAGTTTCCTTTCCTCTGAAACCCATGACATTCACCTGACCCTTTGACTTCTATTGAGTCCTCAACATCCTTTTCTTCCCTAAAAGATAAAAGCAGGGTTGTCAACCTAAAATCATTGGTTCTCTGCCTCCCCAGATATGAATAGAAGGTCCACCCCACCCCTACTGTTTTATGACTTTTTTCATTCTCCATTCTATTACGTCTCCCCATGTCCTTCTCAGATCTAAAGCCCCTAAGAGGTAGAGACTATGGCACAATAGTACCCTGCTTCCACTACACACAGGGATATACTCAACTGTGAGCTTAAGAATAGCAGCTAGCATTCAGCAATATGTGCTTGGCAGGGTGTTAGGTACCTAATGTGCATTATTTCATCTAATCCTCACCACAACCTTTGAGGTAATCACAATCATTATTTCCATTTTCAAGAAGTTAACAAACTAACTTAAGGGGAACCTCATAGCTAAAAGTAGAAGAACTGGATTTGGACCTCCTAAGTCTGCTGAATCCCTGTGCTTTCAACCACTATATAATTCTGCATCCCCTTCAGGTGAAGGGAAGTTTGTATTTCCCAATGCTTGGCATCTGGCAAACAGTTGACACAGAATAAATGTTTGTTGAATGAGTATCTACCTCCTGCCCTGTTCTCCACCCTCCCTCAGCCTTGCAAGGGCAGAATCATGTCTACATCCACCCTAACTGGTCCCACCTGAGCTGTCCCAGGAATACTTCCTGTCCTTCCCTTAGCTAAGTCAGGAGCATTCCTCAGGCCCAGGCAGCAGTCCTGTGTGGAGGAAGAGGCAGTTTGGGTGGTTCAAAACAGCTGTTTCTCTTGGTTTAAAGAACAAGGAGCTAGAAACAGGAGGGTGGGCACATGGGCCCTACAGCCCATTTTCCTTGGATAACCTCCAGTCTGTTCCCTTGAACTCAGGGATGCTGGGCAGTTCAGGTGAGCAGTTCAGGGGCTGGGCCCACCTGAGACCTTCTGCCAGGAAGATGATTTTTCTCTCCAGCACAGCAGAGGCAAAGATCTGAAGTATCTGTTCAAAACTGAGACAGTGCAATAGAGAACTAAAATCCACATGTTCTAGGTGGGAGTCCAGGGGCCGTGTCAGTGAAATGAACTGTGGGGAAACCAGAGAGAGAGAAGGTGTCACTACACTGCAAGATCGTGCAGACCCCAGAGTGCTGGGCCTCTACCAGCCTCTATTCCTTCCCCAAGGAGTGAATCTGACCCTGTCTCTCTTTCCCCTGCTAATTGGCTGGAGGACAGCAGTGATGTGATCTCGAGTATGGCCCATAACGTCCCTCACCCTCCCTCACTCGCCTCCCTGAGCACACACCCCTCTCTCACTGCGCTTCAGCACATGGGCTTCTGTTCCTTGAGCAATTCTATCTTTTCTGCCTGCAGCCTTCACTGTGGGGGCCCTCCTCCTGCACTGCTCTGCTCCCTTCATTCTTACCTTCTTTCAGGTCACAGAGGCCCCCCCTTGGCCATGTGATACTTTCCCATCTTCTTCTTATGTAGCACCATGTGTTTTTTTTTTTCCTTTCATCCCAGTTACATAATTTCTAATTCAACATGCACTGGTGTGTTTATTTAACATCTGTCTTCCCCAGTGGACTTATAGCTCCAAAAAGTCAGGGACCACATTCATTTTGGTCACTACTGTATTCCCAGAAAATGGTATAGTTTGGCACACAGCAAGCATTCAGTACTGATTTTTCTAGAAAGTGAAAGTTTCTAGCCTCTCCCCTTATTTTCCTGTGGGGAAGCCAAGTTTAAAGGGGCACAGAGACTATTCAGAGTTCCAGGGGTCAGGACTGGAATTCTTAGAACAGTGTTCTACCTGCTGCCTCAGTGTGCTTGGTGCCTTAAAACAACAGCATTCCCCCAGGCATGGGTGGAGACTCGGGGGTGGGGATGGATGATAAGAAATGGACAGATGGAGGCTGTAAGGTAGAGACAGGACAAACAAAGGAGAGTGCAGTGGGGGTGGGGGCAACTGGCAGTCTGGGGGCTGAGGGAAAAGCCCTTTATAGCACCAGAAGCCTCAACTTACATGGTTTATTTATTATAAAGAAAAGTCTTGGTGGCTTGAGCAGTAACTAGGGGCTTGTGGGTATCAAGTTAGAAGGATCAGAAAATTTGGGCTTGATTTCAACTTTGTTCATTCTAACCAAGTCCTAGTCCCCATCTGGCTCAGTTTCTCTGTACTTTAACCTGGTTAATGGAAGAACAGTGGTAAGAGGTACCACAGATGCCTACCCTCTCCAGCTAGGGACGGTCTCACCCATTTTGCTAACCCACCTCAGTGCCTGAGTCGGGGATGAAGCTCTTGAGAGTGACAGTCTTCCCAGGAGCAGGGAAGGCCGCCTCTCGGAGGCCCTGCATGAACGGGTAGATGACAGCCATGGAGATCTGATGTCTCTTCTCCACTTCATCCAGGATCTGCAGAGAAAAGAACCACGGGAGGCACAGCTCAAAGGGACACTATCGGGCAGGTGGCAGAGACTCTACATGCCCCTGAGCATCATAATGTTCCCATACTGGTTCAGCTGGTCCTCCTGTATCTTCTAGGGCCCTCCATGAACTGGTCTCTCCCTCCCTGGCAGAGGCTGGGCTCATGCTAAATAATCTGCAGTTTATTTCCCATGTAAGACCTGCTTTTTTCCAGCTTCCTTTTTATTATCTCTCTACCAATCCACATTCTTCCCCTCTCCTAACACCAACACAAAAGCACCTCCCTGGGAAGTCATCCCAGAGTAAACTCACCACCCATGATGGTACCATGTCCACTCATGCTGGTTGCAGCAGGAGGCTAGAAGCCTAAGCCTCTTGGTACCACTCTGTCCTCCAACTCCCACTATAGATTCCCGGGGTCAGAGACTGCCTCCATCCCTAGGAACACTGCACAAAGGAATTCTTTACCCAAGCAAAGACTGACAGAGTTTCCTCCCTTCCTCCTCCAAAGGTCCTGCTGGGGTCAGAGCATAATGAAGTCCTTTCTGGTCACCAATGGATGGCATGGCCCCCATGGATTCTGCTCAAATCCTGACTCAGATGCACTGGCACTCAAATTAGCTCCAGCAGAAGTCCTGGGGACCTCAACTGTTCTTCTACCCTTGAAGGAGTCAGAATGGGTCTTATAACTCCTTCATATTTGTTTAGTGCTCTGCCTTTTATAACGAGTCTTCCCATATATCACCTCATTTATACCTCACACCACCCAGTGAGATAGGAAGGTGAGATTATTATATTCATTTGACAGATGAGGAAATTGAAACTCGGGGAAGAAGTTTCTTCCCCTTGTCCTACTTCAACTACTTTCTTACCTGGCTAGAGCGGGAACAGTAGCTGTCTCTGCAAGGAGTCCAGTCCCCTAGATTCAATTTCCACTTTTCCTTAAGTCAAGTGCATGCCCCTTTGCCTCAGTTTTCCCAAGTGTACTTTAAAGCTGATTCTGGCTATGGGAGAAGAGCTCCACTAAGGACTTAGGTTGCACAGGCAGGGTTGGCAGCCAGAGAGAGCCTGGAAGATGGGCAGGACAAACAGGCCCTGAGGAATCCTGTTCCATCCCTACCTTGGAGAACAAGCCGAAGCAGCCGATGCAGCTGATGATGCAGTACACTTTGGGAAGGCGAGGGCCAGGGCCGGCAGGCTGGGGAGGGACAGAGAGGCTTCTTCAGTGCTGCAGCCTCCCCAAGGGTTTCTCCCAACTGGTATGAAGGAGCACAAGGCTGAGGGCTGGGGAGGGAGAATTTATGGGGAATGGTGGGTGCAGCAGGGAGGTCAGAGTGGCCACCCCCTGGTGAGAGATCCCAAAAGAAGAAATCCTTGAGGGTACTGAGTGAGTTGGTGGGCAAGTGCTGCCGCCTTCAGTGCCAACACAATCTGGGGTCAGCAAAGAGGGGAAGCAAGTGTGCCTTAGAGATGAAGAAATGGCTAAGGAGGAAAGCACTGTGAAGGTGACTTGGGGAATCCTCCTGAGACTTGAGATTTGAAACTAATTGTCCAAATCCCAGCCTCTGCTCTGGGAGGCTCCAGGGTCCAAGGTAAGCAGGCCTGGGTAGAGCAGCAGGGAGAGGAGTCAGTTGGAGCCTCTCACAAAGAGGAAAGTTATCAAAAGCCAGGGAGAGCACAGACCAGAGCCTGACCAGCAGGGGGAGAAGGGGCATCAGGTCCTCGTGCTTGTGGGGCTGCAGAGGGAGCACTAGCATGGCAGAAGGTCCTGGGCTGTGCTTTCTATACAACTGGTGCTGTCAACAAGCCTGGACTTTTGCAGCTAAGGCTTGAGCAAGCCCAGCCATGGAGCTGAGCAGACTGCAGAAAGGAAGGGGCAGTTCTGAGCTGCACAGACCAAGAGACGCCTGCAGTATCCAATCTTTCTGCTCCCATCCACATTGGTCAGAACGAAGGAGAAGGTCTCCCTAAGAAAGAGCAGACAAGGCTTGATTTGCATTGCTCACTGGATTCTAAAACAGGAAAGTGGTCAGGATTAGAGGGTGGAGAGGAGGGCAAAGCGGAACTGCTGATTAATCATAGGAGTAAGGGCTCACTGGTGTCGAGCCCTAAACACATCATCTCATCTAATTGTCAAAACAACTCTTTGAGGCAGGTTATTATCCCCACTTTAAAGATGAAGGAACTAAGGCCAGAGGGTGCTTCTTCTTCAAGGTCATTCAACTCATAAATAGTGAAGTCAAAGCTCAAGCAGTAGAATTCCAGGGCTCATGCTAGAAGGGTCTTTGCTACATCGCCTTCTTAGAGGCTAACTGCTTTCTGCTAAGTCCAGCTTGGGCCAGTAGCAGAATTAAAAGCAGTAACTATTGCTTCTAAGACAGGTGGGAGAATCTGGCTCTTTGGACAGAAGTGACTGATCAAACTGATAGCTAATATCCTTGGCCTTGAGGGACCCCAGGCCGGATGTTTTCAAATGAATCGATTACACTCCTGGGCTGAAAATCAACAAATGACAACAGTGAGGGGGGCTACAGGAGCCACAGAACTCACACATGTTCCTTCTCTCCAAATCCAATACCCTTGCTCAAGGCTGAGCAATTACCTGGGATACTCGGTGAGTGATGCCCACTCATTCCCGTCTGGGAAGCAGAACAAGGGGATAGCTTTGAGTAGCCGCTCCTCCTCCTCCTGCTGACCCCGAAGCAGGTTCTCCCGCTACAAGGAAAAGGAAAAGACAAGTGGATGTGAAGCTGGGGGCAGAGGTAGGAGGAGAGGGCTTCAGAGCTGGTGGGTTTCCTTTGAGGCTCTAAAGCAGTCTAGGGATAAGCTTCTCCACTAGCATAGGGGTGAAGGGTGCCTTTGCCCATCACTCTGCACAGTTTGCATTCTGGATCTGGTTGGAACAACTCCAAAGCTGAAACAGCCCCTCCTCAGTCAACTCGACATAAGCTTGACTTCGACCTCAGTATTGAGGATCTACATAGAAACGGGACAGGGCCATGTTGAATATAGAAAGGCCCTGAAATGACCCAGGCCTCTGAGAGGACAACATCAGAGAGGCACCACATCAGAGAAGAGAAGCGGCCAGCTCAGTTGGCACACCTCCTAATGAGAAGGGTTAATGAGGATTCCCACCCCTCTACCTGGTGCAGGATCAGACAAGAAAGAGTCTGATGCTTGGGCTCGGGCAGAGGGCTGTGCCTGCCTACCAGTTACATGACTGCCCCACTCTTTCCTTCCCACACATCCCAGAGAGGGGATTTATTCTAGGAGGTCTGGCAGAAGGTAAGCTTCTATACAGAGAAGGGTGACTGAAAATGGGATTTGGAAGACCTATGAGGTCCCCTAAAAGGCAAAATATCTAGCCTAGTTTCCCTGCTAGGAAGCCTAGGTCAGTCCCTCACAAAGAAGTTAGACCTAGATCCTGTGGGTGATAACAGAGGACTGGGGCTGTGCTAAGAAGGAAATGGAGAGCAGCGAGCTCAGAGCTCAGGGCAGCTCCAGGCTCAAGCCCTGGTAGGGTGGGGAGAAGGAGGTAGAACCCCCACCCCTACCACCTTCCAAACACCCTAGTCCTCTGACTGGCCCTGCCCCTCCTTCAGTCCTTACCTTGGGAAATTGGTAGGTGATTATAGGCTCGTAATCATCCTGTGAACGCTTTTTTTTGAGAGAAACCACAAGAAGGTATTCAAAGAAGTGCTGCCCCCCAGCAAAGTTGGGCAAAGAGTGCTCCTGGGCCCTTTCTGGTTCCTTTAAAGCTTCCCCCGAATTGTCCTGGGGCGGTCCTGAAACCAAGACACCGGAGCCCATTTAGTATAATCTCATTGATCCATTCCTGGAGTGGAGTCTGTGAGAATCTGGGTGACCTCCACACCTCAAGGCCGCCTTGCCAATGCTGAGATACCTGGATACTGGCCAGCACCACCAGTCACTCAGGATCAGGGCCAAATGGGCAGTTTCCACACCTGCCCTGGTAGACTTGAAACCATGGGGAACCAAGCAGAGGAAAGAAAACACTGACGCAGAAGCCACGGAAATGTGCTGGAGAGGCTGCATGGAGGCCAAGGCCCCAGGGTGCCACAGACACTGCCTAACCTGTAGGGTGCTTCTGGCAATCCTGGAACAATATGGCCGGAGAGTTTAGGTCATACTAAGTGAATAAGAACAGGCACAAAGGGCATGTGACTGTGACCACACTAGCCCCACAGAGGGCATGACCAGTTCTTAAAAACCAGCAGAGGAAGCCTCCTGGCCCAGTCACATGGGGAACCATGTGGAGGCCGAGATATAAAAGTAAGAAGAGGAAGGAGTATTTCAAAGAAGAAACAGTCCCGCCTAAGAGGGTCACCCTAAAAACAAGGAAGTGGGCAGTCCAGTCCTGACCTGCTCGACGTCGGAAGAGCCTGAACACCCGGCCTACCACTTGTCCTTCCATCTCTGGGCCTTCAGGACAGAGAGCACTCCCCTCTCCCCTAACACAGACAGACTGGTGACAGAAAGCCTGAGAAAGGGGCTGCTTCAGCCTCCAGCCACAACTCCGTGAAGCCAAGCCACGCGCTATCTTCCAGAGAGGGGAGAGAAGTTTCCATCCTGTGCACCCAGTAGTTGAGCAAGAAGGATGTGACGGGACCCAGGAAGGCAGCAGCAGCCAGCACCAACAGAGTCAGCATCCTGGCACTGCAGTGCAGATCTCAGCTCCTCCCAAGGGCCTCAGGGTGTGGCGAGAGAAAAGGTCAAGAGCAAACACCTCTGGCTGAAAGAAGCCAGAAAGGTCTGGCTACTTCTGGGCTAAGGATTTTGAATCTGGGCTGCAGATTGTGCAGAGAGTTTATTTACAATCTTAGAACAGTGGACAACAGTGGATAGCGTCAGACTGTGGGCAGTGGAAACTGGCTGGTCTCAGGATAGGGATCCTATATCTCCATCACTTAGATTGTTGACCTTTCACTTCTCAACTTGATCAATGGAAGTCAAAAACCCCAGCAGGGCCACCTGCTGAATTCTAGAACTTCCAGGACATCCCAACCTAGAGCACATGCCCAAACACTCTCTGCAGCCGGGATGCCACTGTCCTCTCCTGATTGAGATAAATAGACTTGGCCTAATAATTATCCAAATAGATTAATTCTTACAACAAAAGAAAGAGTTCTGGAAGTCAATATCCAATAGCCTCCTTTCCTGATGGTGCAGTGAAGAGCAAAACCCATCTCTAAGCCCAGAGTTCATGATATTTGGGAAATAGCTACAACGGTGAATTTCACCCGATGCAGAGTTCTGTCACTGGCACTTGTTCCAGGGTTCCAGCAGAGTCCCTCTTCTCAAATAGGAAGCACTAGCTCAGGAGACTGTCCCCAGCTCAAGATAGGGGACTGACTGCACCAGCAGCCTGAGGGTGATTGTGTGGCAGTGGAAAGCATCCGGGTGATCTCCACCCAACCCCCACGCCTGCTCAGCCTTCCTCTGGATCAGGCCAGGTCAGCCGTACTGCCCAAGCTACAGGCAGAGCTGCTAGCCCACTGCTGTGTCTGGAGACTAGGTAAGAGAGAAGGAATAGCAAAAAATCACCTTGGATTCTCACAGAAACCCCTGAATGAGTAAATGCAGAGAAAGTTTTTGCCAGGAAGCTGCCCCAAAGGGAAAGCAGGGGGCAAAAGGGGTTGGCGCCAGTGTTTGCCACTCCTACTAAGAATAAGCAGCCTTCTGGAAGAGAGTGGGGTGCTAGGATAGGGAAAACAGCTGCTTTGCCTCTAAAAGCTCTAGACCTGGCTTCTGTGGGACTAGTAAAAGCCAGGACTCATGGATGGCCAAACTCATTTACAGTAAAGAAAGGTGTTCAAATGCTGTAATGGGTGAGAAGAGCAAACCAGAACACTTGGAGCTGGCACCACACCTTACTTCCAAGCTACACAGACTTGTTGCACAAACCTTACCACCTGTCTAAGGAACAAGCATCTTCCTGATACAGATGGGGACACTGAGGCATAAAGTAATTCAAAGGCTATTAAAATTGGCAGGATTTGTTGGGAATGGGGATTAGGAAAGCTCCACATCCATGCTCCTGCCTTCTGGATGCATTTGACATCAAATATCCCACAGAGGTTTTCAAAGGACATTGAGAAACAGAATCTTGTCACTGACATTTCCAGATTCTAACGAAATTATGCCTTTCCCTAAATCCTTTGGGCTGCATTTTCAGATCATTTTCTTCTGCTTTATCAGGAAAGCCAAGAGAATAGCAAAATTAAGAAATCATTGACAAAAGAAAGTAATCAGACTTTTGGGATGAGGCCCAAGAAATGCAGCAAAAGACTGTTTTCTCCCCTCTTTCAAAAGGGGTTATCCACAGGAGAGAAAAGCATAAGAGAAAACTAACCTCCATCAAACTCATGTTTCATATAAGGTATCTCATTTAATCTCCAGTGCCCTAGAAAGGAATTATTATCCTGAGTTTTAGTTGAAGAGGGAGTCGCCTTTTCTAGGGAAGTCAGGAATCTGGTTACACTTGTTCCTCCACCAGAAAGCCTCTCCCACAGACACCTGACTGAAGTCCCAGATCTGTCCAGAATATAGGTGAGGGGACCTTCTGGAACCTTCATCTGGGAAGCTGGCCCATCCCTTCCAGCTCAGGTGCTCTCAAGCCAGGACCACCACCACATCACTCCTTGTCACCAGGATACACACACACACACACACACACACACACACACACACACACCCTCCTAATACGCAACTGTCCTGGGGCCAGAAAGGCAAAGAGGAAGGGGGAGAATCCCCAGGCAGGTGGAGGATGGTATGGAAGATGAACAGGACACACGCTCCTGGCCAGAAAAGTATTAGGCCTCAGTTCTTACAGTTCCTCAGTATCAGGAAGCTCCTTCAGGCACAATCAGGAAGTGCCTGGTGTTGGGGCAGGGGTGGGTGGGAACAACTGGAATGTCTCCTCTGGGCTGCAGGGGGCAGACCCCTTCCATTCACACAGATGTCCCAGGGTCTGGGAAGACCAGGACAGACCAGGCCAGTGCTCTCCAGAGAAGAGAGAATGTTAGCCTCATCCTGCCTTCTGCTCCCACCACTGCATGGTCCCAGGCCTCTGCCCCAAACTGTGGTTTCTGACCTCTCCCTGATGGTGCAGCTGGAATGGCCAGATATTGGAGATCTGTGTCTAGAGAGGACACTGCAAAAGGAGAAGGGGCAGGGTGTGGCAGGAGGAATGGCAACAGGATGAAGAACAGAACACTCGTAGAGGTCACTGCAGTTCAAAGATGGGCGCACTGACCTCACTCCCTAAGGTCTTCCCAGCTCTGGGGCTTGGGCTAAGAGAGGGGCTCACTTGGCCTCCTTGGTGTGCCAATGTTGGAAAGGGCAGGCTGTCTGGGAATGGCCCCTGCTCACTTTCTAATCCACTCTTTGCTCCTCAGACGGTAGGACCTCTAGGCAAAGTATCTAAGGGTCATGGCTGCTCAGCCATAGGACTGGCTAGTGGTAAGCCACACAAATATTTGCCGAAGGAATGAATAAATGAATGAATTTCTAACTGCTCTCCTTCCAACCCCAGGGCTCTGCTAAGAAAGAAAAGAAGCTGCTGCTTTAAATTAGCAGTTGACTTCTAATTTAATCCCCATAATCCTGGACGGGGGAATTATGTCCATTTCACTGTTGCGGGGCTGAGGGAAAGGGCGACACGCTGGAAAGCAGCAGCTGTGCAGGTTCTACCGCCGCTCCGCTGGAGGCCACACTCTGAAGGGCACCTGGCCGCAGGTGGGCGGGGGTGGTAACGTCATCGAGGAGACCTGTATTTGTGGCCGGTGGCTATCTGCGGGGCAGGGGCAGGGGCGCTGGCTCCGAGGAACTGGGCAAAGGCCACGGAGGAGTCCCAGGGCGGCGAGATGGGGTGGGGCGGCGGGCACGCCGGGAGCTGAGGCAGTGCCTCTGGGAGGGCACCACAACCGGGGCGCTTTCAGGCACACTGCGGTTGCACCACAAGCTTCCTGGATGGAAGGACACGTGGCCCCGGGGCCCCACAACGGTTTCCTGTGTCCCGCCGCCTCCCCCTCGCCCCCGCAGGCCTGGCCTAGCCGTCGTGTCCCGCTCCCGCCCCCACCTGACCCTCTTCCCCTCTCCCCGCGCTCCCTCCCGCTCACCTGCCCCCGCGCAGCCTCCTGAGTCCCCCTCCAACTGCTCCCGGATCTCGACGCCCCGTGCCGCCCTCCCCCGGGCCCCAGCCGCCGGCTCCCCGATGCCCATGCAGTCCCCGCGCGCTCTCCCCGGCAGGCACTAACCCCCATGGCCGCGCTTCAGTCTCAGGCTGGCTCGAAGGCGGCGGCCGAGCCCATCCATGGCCCCTCGAGTGCCCGGCGCCCGCTCCCAGCTCCGCGCTGGCCCCGCCCCCCTATCCTTGACCTCCTCGGGTCCGACACTTTCACTTTCACGCGGGGGGAGGCCTAGGGGACAGGTTCGGGGCGGCGCGGCGCACCTTCCGGGCTCCGGCCCAACCCCCGGCCTCACCTGGGCGGGCCCGCTCTGCCCTCGCCCTGGGCAGGGCGGCGTGGGGTGGCAGAGGGCGCTCGACGCGCGTCCGGGACTGGGCGGCGCCACCTCGTTCCCACCCTCCGTGGGGCTCCCAGGGAGGCTTGACTTAGCGAACCCCCTACAGTCCGCAAAAGCGCGTTGTCCTGGCTGAAATCACCGCCTTCCAGGTGGCTCCAAATGAATCCCAAAAGAGACAGTTTTCAGTCCTCACACTTCTCAATCCCTCCACCTCTCCCTTTGCCACTGCTTTAGCCCCTCGACCATCTCCAGGTCTCTTGCCCTACTTGTCCTCTCACTCTTGCGGTTCCTCAGGAGGAACTGGAGATGCGGATTAGGGAGCTGACCCTGCCTTCCATTCAAACTTGGCCTTGAACAGACCAGCAAAATGGGGGTAACCCCTCCCCTTACACGAAAATGTGAAAGTTCAGGAATACAGAAAACTTTTTGTAGGTCGTTACATAATACAAATTCAAGGAACGATTATTGCCATAATTGTTGCAGCAGTCCCCTCTCCCCTTCTAATCCTGAGTTTCAATGCAGCCTTTCCGCTCCTCCCTTTTCACATCTTCATTAACTTGCAAATATGTCCAGGCTTTAAACTTCAGGTATCAACCATGACATTGTGGGTCTGCTAAGCCCACTTCCTCCTGGGAGATTTGCTCTAGTTCCCGGCTCCCTCTCAGAACATTTTCTGTAGGGCTGGGAAGTGCGGAGTCCATCTGGGGTTGCCTTGTTTACAAGGTTTTAGGGTCCGTTTCAGGAGGGGTAGGCAGAGGGAAGAAGGTACTCTGGCAGAAATACATCTGGGATCTGTGGGCCTGACTCCCAGACCTGCAGCCCTCTTTCCTCTCCTCAGGCATGGCCTCCTGGTGACTCTCCAGTCACCACGGGTGAGCCAGAATTGGTTATCCAGCCCTAGTATTAACTGTCTAGTCTTAGCCCAGAGGTTCTAAAAGTTGACTTTACTCTGGCCGTATGCAATTTTGCACTTAATTACAGTCTGTTGCTGTTCCCTATTCTTTGCGTATTCCCTTCCCTTCCCCAAGTACCTTTTGTGGCCTGAATCCATGTCTTACGCATCTCTGTGTAAGAACAGTCGTTGCTCATGATAAACTTGTCCAATTGATTGAATATTATTGTGCCTTAACTTCCCCAGTCTATTTTGTGGTGTTCCCAACCAAACTAACTCCCTTTCTTTAAAAACAGATGAAGAAAACTGTGTACATGTGCACCAAAAAGATAAGTACAAGAATGTTCAAGGGGGTCTTATTGAAACAGACTCACACTGGAAATAGCCTCAAATGTCTATTCATAGTAAAGTGAGTGAATCACAGTATATTCACGTAATGAAGTACTACATAGCAGTAAAAATAAACAACAGCTGTCATGCAATAACATGGCTACATTGCACAAACATCATGTTGAGAAAAGGAAGCCAGACACAGAAGAGTACATTATGTAAGGGTCCATTTATATAAAGTTTAAAACAGGTGAAATTAATCTACGGTATGAGAGGTCAGGATGGTGTTACCTTTAGGGAGGAAGGAGGAAATAATGACTGGGAGAATACCATAGCGTTTCTGTCTAGAATGCTGGTCATGTCCTATTTCTTAACCAGGTGGTAGATACCTAGATGTATTCGCGATGTGATCGTTCTTTGCAGTGAACACTTAAGCACTTCTCTGTATGTATATGATACTTTAAAAAGATTTTTAAAGTGTTCGTTAGGATGTTAGGGTGACATTAATGAAGGTAATGAAACAGGAAGAAGCTAGTTCAGAATAAAATTAGAAATTATTGGGATGGGAGGAAGTGGAGCTAACTAAGTATAATCTGCATTTTTGAGAAGTGTGGATAATAATAGGAACAAGTTAATTGATCCATAGAGGAAAATTGGGGTTTAAAGTGATGGGTTAAGATGGGAAAGATGAGAGCATATTATGGGTATAGCAATGAGAACTAGCAAGGGTAGACATTTAAAGTATAAGAAAGAGGGTGTGCAGATGGAACAGAGTCTGAGAGAAGAGGGAGGAGGGGGCAATTAGAAGCTTAGGTAGAAGTTTGGCTTTAAACGGAAAAAGGAAACTTTTTTTTTTTTTTTTTTTGAGACAGAGTTTCACTCTTTTTGCCCAGGCTGGAGTGCAATGGCGCGATCTCGGCTCACTGCAACCTCCACCTGCTGGGTTCAAGCGATTCTCCTGCCTCAGCCTCCTGAGTAGCTGGGCTTACAGGCAAGCGCCACCACACCCGGATACTTTTGTATTTTTAGTAGAGACAGGGTGCCACCATGTTAGTCAGGCTTGTCTCAAACTCCTGACCTCATGTGATCCGCCCGCCGCAGCCTCCCAAAGTGCTGAGATTACAGGCGTGAGCCACCGCGCCTGGTTGGGAAAATGAAACTTTATCTGAGGGAAAAAATGAAAATGGCTATAGATGTTGATAAATGTATAGATAAGGTAGCAAGAAGTTAAAGGATACCCCAGGAGGCCTCAGTTTCTGTTAAGACAAAAGGTTATTTTTCTTCTTGTAGCTGCCATCTTCCACTGTCCCCTAGGTCATTCTCCTAGTCTGGCTGTAGAGTGGAAGTGAATGACCCTAGCCTCCCTTTTTTGAAGGTCTTGAAAGGAAGCACACTAATATTCAAGGAGGCAGTCAGTATGACATAACAGAATGAGCCTGGGCGTCCAACACAGACGAACTTGGACCTGAGCCCACTCTTCTTCTTGCTTGCCCTGTAGCCTTGGGTTACGCATTGCACTGAGCCTCACTTTTCTAACATAATAAAATCACCTTGCAGGGCAGTTGTGAGGATTAGAAAGAATATATTTGTAATACAAATTCCAAACTTCATACATACCTTTAAGGCTTAAATCACTGTAGTCTCAGCTCCATTTCTTTTAATTGCAGAAAGTGCTGTCTATTACCAGGCTTGTATCTCCAGGAATTTCTGAGACGCCTTAAGAAACACACACTCCAAAGACCAATTCTGATATTCACTGGTCATTAGAGTCCATCATGGGAATTCAAACTACTACTTTCCCTTCCACAATTATACCCATTTATCTGAAGACATACTGCTATTGTTCTCCCCTGTGCCATTTTGTCCAACTTGGACAATGATTCTATCTTCAATTCCGTATAGAGATACCTGAGGTCAGAGGAGGTTTTGTTAAGACTTAGTCGAAGGTTTGTTAAGACTTTGTTTTATAAGAGAAGCACGTTATAAAAGGAAAACTTAAACATAAAATATCACCGCTTTTGGGATCTGCATGAGGGTCTTCTTTGGAGTACTTCTCTGCCTAACCCTAGAGCTGCCCCCATCTTGCAGGGATTAGCTAACCTGACTCCAGTGGGAATGCCCTTGAACCCAGCCCGTCTTAGTATTTGCATATTCCAGAATGATTGACAAGAGCAATGTTTATTACATTCACGGGGAACCCTGTCTCATACTTAGAATCTAATCTCTTCTTTTGGCACAGAGACACCAGAACAACAACAAAAACAAAAGCAACCCATATTTCCCCAAGAATAGGCCCATCGATACAGAATGCCACCATCAATTGACCCGCACAATTCCTCTTCCTTTGAGATGAACAAAAGCTCAAGCTGTCTCAAACTATGTATACTGCAAGTCATCTGAAGTCTTGCCTTCTCATCTCCTATGAGAAAAGAGTTGAATAACCTATATGTCTTCCAGAAACAAGCAATGATATCCAGGATTAGGAAAGAACATCTGAATATTAGAAACAAAGATAGCCTTTTCTGTTACCACAAAGAGTTCCTGGAGTTAAAAAGTTCTCAAATCTCTCTCTCTCCTAGAAAGGGTCTCTACTCTATGTTTGAGAGCCAAAAATCTCCTTGTATTCTCTTTCTTCCTGTTCTTCTAAAGTGCTAAGATTTCAATCCCAACATTTTGTGTGTGTTGATCCCTCTACTTGGAAAGTTCTTCCTCCCACTCCCCACTCTACTAACTTCTACTCATTCTTTGTATCTTGCTTAAACGACCTTTTCTGAAAAGACTTCTTTGACCACCTCCCCTTTCCATCTAAATCAGATCCTCCTGTTACAACCTCAATCACACCATTTCCTTAGGAGCATTTATAGCCATTTGTAGTTACATATATGTATTTCTGAGATTATTTGTTCAACTACTCTCTCCCTTTCTAGAGTCGTCCCCAGAAGGCATGGGTCTTACCTCTTTCTCTTACTTCTGTGTCCCCATTGCCTAGCACAGTGCCAGGCATACATTAGATAAACAGTAAACATTTGTTGAGTGAATAAATTTATGAATTAATAGATGGGTAGTATGCAGAAAGCTTCTATCTCTAAGGAGACAGAAAATTAATTTAACCATTTTTTATTTTCTGGGTTCTACTCAGGACAAACACTTTGGGTACCTAAGACTCATTTCCCCCTTTACCCTTGCTGGATGTATGCATATATTTGCTCAGAGGTGTATCAGATGGTGGAATCTGATCGTGGTAGTCCTGGTCTCCTTCCCCCAGGTTGATTCATGGTGGCCATGTGATCCAGGTGTGGCCAGTGGGAGGTAAGGAGGTGTCTAATCTAGTAAGGGAGGCAAGATGCAATCTCCTAGGGA